GATCGCATGGCAACGAAAAATAACACGTAGCGAGAGCAGGAGTGATATGCGTTGTTATTTTTTGTTGCCATGCGATTCTCATTGCTGTCACGCCTAGAGCGTACAGCCTACGATGTAGCCGCGATCAACGCGCGATTATTCGTCAATCCCTTTTAATTAATATCTCAATTACTATTGCGAAAATTGCAAAACGGTAAAGGACTTTTCTATTCAGTTTACCACACTCTATCCGTATACGAGCGTTGGCACGGACATTATAAAACACCCTGTATATATATACAAGGTGTCTGGCAATAATCGCCCCACTGGTTATATAGTGATAAGTACTGAGTAATTAACAAAAAAAGATCGGCGAATCCGCGCGAGTAAAGCGCGCGCGGCAAGAAGGACGTCCTACTGCTATGCGATCACTAGGCGCGCTATGAAGCGTTGGGAGGAGCGCTCTACAATTGACAACGGCAACATACGAGCGGTGCGTAACGCTAGATCTTTGCGTCCTAGCGAGCACGTACAGTGGGCTGTCTCTTCTCGCCGCGTGCACTTTACTCGCGCGGATTCGCCGATCTTTTTCGTTAATTACTCAGTACTTACATATTACGAAAATAAAAAAATGGTAAAGGACTTTTCTACTCGGTTTGACCTCCTCTACCTGTATATGATCGGTGGGGCAATTATTGCCAGACATTCTGTATACGTATATAGTATATATATGGATGTCATTTAAAAATTGATTATCAATGTTAATAATTAAACGTTAAATTAAACGCATATATGCGTTATTTAAAAAAAAAAAATTTTACTTGTAAGATTTTCACAAAATATTGATAGATTTTCAAAGTTGCTAAACTCAAAATTCTGATCAACATTTTTAAATTTAATATAGTATTCCTAATATAGCATATGCAATTATGAAAAATTATTTTATTCTCATTAAATTTGATAAAGTATAAAATTTTTTGTGATTTTTGGATTTGATTCTAACATCAAAGTTTTAATATTTGAAGAAATATTATTTTTATAAAATATAAAATTTATTATATATTTTAAAATTTTAATTAGCATATAATGTTATAAAATTACGTGTGAATAACTACTTTTAAATTTAATCATATTTTACCTTAGATTTATTTTTTACCATATTATGCTTATTCTGCAAAAGTTTAAAATTTCGACTATATACTTGAATCCAAAAAACTGCAAATATATAATCTTTAAGTGAATATAAATTTATTTTATAAAAATTATTTGTAGCAATAGAGATTTTATTTTTTAACAATGAAGAATTTACGCTCCAAATTTTTATTAAGAGATTACTTTTTTCGATTTTATCATCATATGCCTAAAAAATATTCTGTATAATATTACAGTCATTGACACGATAATATTAAAAATTTTAATTTATTGTCGCGTATTTTTGTATGAGAGATAAATTTTTGTATATAAAATAAATATTATTTTTAATTAAACTTAGATGAGAAAATATGGAATGTAATAGGGTAATATTGAGTATAATGATTAATTTCTTATAAAAGTAAAAAATCGAACGGAGCATCTCGAATATCGGCGATTTAGTTGACTTCTATTTCATCTCTTGTTTGGTTTCTCGTTTTTAACGAACAGTTTATGAAACATGGAAGCTATCGATCAACAAAAATCGCTCCACACACCAGGATTAAAATGATTAATTTGACTTGTAATTTGAATATGCAAATAATTACCGTAACGGTGGCATATTTATTATTCTACTGAGAATACGGTTTACATGATTTATTTTGCAATTACAGTCAAGGTAAGGGTAGATTCGGCGTCACCAGGAGCTTCATAGCAACCAGGAGTGGACTTTTGCGATGGCACGAGCATCAGCAGAGTGACGAAACCATCGACGAACCGTGAGCTTATTTTTAACGATAAATATTGAATAGTAGTTAAAAACTGCATATTGAAACAATATCGTCAATTCTTGGTTCGACAATTTTGGAGTGGGAGATTTAATATCGAAACCGCAAATTTCAGTAAATACGATCGGCATTCTAACGATTTGCACGCAGGCGGTTCGCGGAAAAGCACGCAAGAGCCATGGATTCGTCGTGGTACAAACGCGCAGTGGATCAACATTCCATAGAACCGGAAAGCTTTGTCTTCAGTGTACCATTTGATGCAGGTGAATACGTACATTTTAACTTATTTGCAATTACCGACAAAAGAATCAAAATTAAATTCTATAAAAAATTCTATAAAAAATTCTATAAAAAGCATTATAATTTAAAATTAGTTATACATTAAAATGCAAGTGTTATAATCAAGAAATTTTATTTTTATACAAAGTATTTAAAAAATCCCGGAATGGTTTAATATCTCAGAAAGAAAGCATTTTACAAGAAAATGTTTTAGACAAAAATTATAGTGTTTAAAATCCATTTAATGGTTTGAATAGTTTGACTTTAGATGGCGTTGCCGAGATTATATCAAGGTCACCTTTAACTTTTTGAATTAAAATCTCTATTTTTTATAGCATGTTCTTAGAGTCTAAAAGAGGGAAAAAGCAACAGAGATAAACGAGATTTTGGGTGAGGTCGGAAATATGGAGGTGAAAGGTTAGAAGAGTGGGTATAGGGTTTTTGCAATAGGGTTTTGAGAGGGGAGGGATGGACGAAGAGATGAAGAGGGTAAAATGGGGAGGAGTCAAGTTAAGGAAGGGGAAGGTATATACCTTAGCGTACGCGGATGACGTGGTATTGTTGGCAAAAGGGGAAAAGGAAATGAGGATGATTGAAGGGTTGCAGAGATATTTAGAAAGTTAAATTCTTGCATTTGAAAGGCAATACGCCTATGGAAATTAAAGCCGAGTTAGACGCTGTTGGCTTTAATTTCCATAGACGTATTGCCTTTTAAATGCAAGAATTTAATTACGGCACAATATTCGTTTTTTTCCATTTTTACGAAAATACTGACGTCGACTGGCACAAATGACCGTCAAACAATAACTGAACGTACAAAATGTTTACAATTTTCACAGTTATCTTTCAAAGCATGTACGATTGTAATACCGACATAGTTTTGACGAGTAATGCCATCTTCGTATTGAGGCTCAAAACTTTTCAGACGACCCTCTTATACAAAAAATTAGGGTAGTAAAAAAATTAGGGTAGTTCTATTTAAAAAAATGAAGATGACCTTGATATCTCTTCATCTGGACAAAACTTATTATCGCCATATGATATCCCCCTTCGTACCATACAACTTTAGTTACACAAATCTTCTTCTGGACTTTATAGATTCAAAGATATTTAAGGTGGTAATGATTATTGTCTCATCCTGTATATTATGTATACAAGGTCCCACAATTAGACTAATAAACTTTGAATGATTATAAAGGACACCAAAATAAATCAATTTTGTTAATAAACCCATGTCCGCAAATGAGCCGTTTTGACACTAGAGAATCAAAGACTAAGATATTGTTTGATATTGTTTGACTAAGACATTGTTGACTAAGCTCAGTATTCAGTATTCATTCAGCGTTACAAACGTTCACAAGTGTCCCCCCCCCCCCCGACTTGATTCTCCTTGAATATGTTGTAAAACATACAATTTGAGGAGACACGTATTTTTTTATAGCGGCCCTATCTCAAATTTAAGGGGTGAAACACCCCTTTGAAAAAAAACGGTTTTTTTCTTTGTGTGTAACTATCGCCAAAACCGGAGATATAAAAAAAAGTTTCAATTTAAGAGTTTCAAGTTTCAAGTTTAATTTAATTAATTTCAGAAGTTGTAGAGCTTGTAATGGGCTATATAACTGTGTAGTTGGATTTTCAAAAAATGTTATTTTTTTTAATTTACCCCCACCTCTTGTTATTATTTTTTCGAATTTCAAAATTTTTGTAATGACAAAAGTTGTAGCATTTTTTACGCTGAATTCAACCATATATAATTTTATTATGTTCCGAAATCGCATCTTTCAAAAATGAGTCATCAAGTATCACATTATATGTGTCGCGCTGCATGACGCATCGTTTATACCGCACTTGTGTTGTGCAATAGTCGCAAAATAAATATAAAAATGACATACAATATGTTATCACATATTTGAGGAAGAAAAATTTACTAAAATTGTTGCTAAAACATCCCTTCCACATTACATTCTTATAGATAATCACTGCATTTCGTGCGCAGCGCGTTGTTATATGCAAGTTAGCTATACATGTGTATATAAAATGTGAATATTATTTAATCATAAATTAAGAAAAACAAGTATAAATATATTATTAATTTGAAAACATCACGTTTGAGAGACGTGATTTTACACGAAAGATTAGATTATGTAATCATAAGTTAATAATAAACAAGTGTGAATGGAAGCTATAAATGCGTACAAAAGGCCTACATTCATAGTCTGTGAAACGAACTTGGTGAAATCGTATCTGCAACTGTTTTTCTTTTCTTAAATTTAATTTTCGGGAAAAGAATTATCAATTAAAATGATTATCAATCCACTCAACGTTGCTAGACTTTTACTAACATCAATAACTACTATGTATCTTATGGAAACGCCAGTAAATAAAGCCGAAATAGAATTAAAAGAAAATATTCAGAAGTTAATATTGGAGAATATTCATCAATTTAACGGATTAGAAGTGACAGAAGAAACATCGCTTGATTATGAAGAACCTGATAAATTGCATACTTTTGAAATTAT